AAATTTAAAGGAGTTGGTAAATAGGATGAATATTAATCAAACGAAAAATAGATTATGTATGAAATTAATGACTAGAAAAGTGATAGTGGGCCAACGTACGCTCTTAATGGGTTAGAACGAAATGTACTATTGGACTAAAGCAAGTTAAGAATTAAAAAAGAATTTAATTAAATTTAGAAAATGATAATGGACTAAGGAGAAACTTGTAACCGGACTATAAAAGGGAGACACAAAGTAAGAAATAAAATATTTAAAAACCTTAACTAAAAGAATATAATAAGGCAAAGTCCTCAATACATCAAATACATCACATATGAATAGGGTATATAATTATCATAGTAGTACAAATAATAAATGTGAAGTGCAAAGATTAGACCATCAAATAATAAATGAAGTAATAAAAAAGAAAATTGTTAAAAAACTTATTTGTGAGTACTTAAATGAAATGATTAATACAAGCTCCTCATGAATTTAAAATTGAGATGATTTGTGCAAGAATGTGATAAATTAATACGGATAGGATTAAATAAATTAAGAAGTAAAGAGTTGAGTACTTGAAACGAGAATAAAATGAGACTAAATTCGTTTGAAAGAAAATTAAATGTAATCTTAAAATTAGCATGTAATAGTAAATCCTAATGAAGTGTTGGGCAATCAAAATAAAGGGAAAATGAGTAGATGCAAAGTGTATAATTATGGATCATGAGTCGGTATAATAGGTCAAAAAATTTAAACTCGTTTGATCATATATCAAGGAGGGGCCTCTGTGTGTGTATGTGGTCGAGATTCAGTCTAAGTGATGGGGATCTCTATCACATGGGTTAACAATCATATCGTATTTTATCGTATTGTATTGTTATTGTATCCAATTTTGACGTATCATATCAAGTCCAAGTTGATAATGATAATCTTTATTGCTCTTTTTAATAGTTATTAAAACGATATCATATGATAAAATTTAAAGTGAATAATTGATGTGAAATTCGTATAAAGAATGAAAAGAGAAATTATAAAAGTGTGAAAAACGTACAAACTCGTTTGATCTTATATCAAGGAGGGACATAAAGAAATTGTTATAAAATGTGATCTTAATGCGACAATTCTCAACTTAAAATCTTTGTTGTGTTATCAAACTTTCATTTATATAAAGCCTTTTACAATTCAAGATGATAAGAATAAATATAGTATATATAGGTGTCATACCTACGATTAATATTTCTGTCATAACTAACTCATTATATTTTTCAGCTAAGGAATTTCATGAGGAAATACTGAGTTGTGTGTGATTTGCTAATGACAGCCTGTGTAATGGTAATATTCCTCTAGCTGGCTGTGTATTATTCTGGGCTATGCAGTTATGTGGATTTGGTGCTCTTTTGTCCCCCCCTCAAACTTGGCAGTGGAAGAGGTCTTGGTACCACTTCTAGTTTGCTGCGAATGTAATTAAAATGAGACTGTGAGAGAGTCTTGGTGAGCTAGTCAGTTATCTGATCACAAGAAAGTATATATCTGATGTCCAGTTCTTTCCCTAACACTTTATCTCGAATGAAGTAGACATCAACTTCTATATGCTTGGTACGAGAGTGAAAAATTCGATTGCTTGTTAGGGCATTTACACTCACATTATCATACCAAACAATTAATACTTGGGACAGAGAGAAGTGAAGTTCTTTAAGAAGAGATTCAAGCTAGCTAATTTCGTAAGAAAGGTGTGCCAATGCTCTATATTCCGACTCTACTTGATCTGGAGACTATGTAGTGTTTTTTAGAGCTCCAGGATACTAGAGTATCACTAAAGAATACATAGTATCCTACTATTGATCTGTGATCGTCTTTTGTGCAAGCCCAATCTACATTGGAATTGATTTATAAGTTTTTGCATGAACTCTTTTGACATATTGATTGCATTATAATACATTGCAGCCCTATGTTAATTATTCCCTTGAGATATCTAAGCACTCTTTTAACTACTTTTAGGCGTTGATTTATA